GAATAACGTGACATCGTCCTTGTGTACTCCATAACCACACTGCACCACCAACCCAGAATAACGCAAGGAACGCCCATCAACCGTAAGAAAAACTCGAACGAGGAATTTGCTGAACACCTGAACACCAAAACACGCTGTACAAATACTCTCTGTAATGTGTGTGTTCAACCATGTGTGTGTAAAACACATGTGTGTGTTCAACCATGTGTGTGTAAACACATGTGTGTGTTCAACCATGTGTGTGTAAACACATGTGTGTGTTCAACCATGTGTGTGTAAACACATGTTAGATGAGTGAGTGTAAATATTACGGGTCTGAATCCGTGATTTGTTGAGTATATTTAGACAATCTGTAACCGCCAGGTCATCCAGCGATCTGCAAGAATACGACGGTGACCTGCCACCATCAATGTGCTGAAACGATTCCGGCAGTTCTATACGTCCATCTTCAACAAACCGAATCTGACTTAGACATTTCTGTAATCGGTCCATCTGTATGTGCAACGGCACAACCGAGCACGGAAAAGCGGCCTTCCCAAGCGAGGCATCGAGGTAAATAATATTCGTACATGTTTCTTCAACTATCTTTCCATTGTAGTAAACAACCCTAAGGCATAGATGTCACCCGTTGTTGATTGAGTAGTAGGTTGTGGACTAGTAGGTTGTGGACTAGTAGGTTGTGGACTAGTAGGTTGAGTAGTAGGTTGTGGAGTGGTTGAGTAGTTACGGATTGGTGAGTAGATGTTGTGAGCAGTTACAGGTCATGGCTAGACAGTAACCGGCTTTAGTCTGTGGCTTTCTCTGGTCGTCTGGGCCGCACGCGTACGATCCAATATCATAAGGTCTTGGACTGGGGTAAGCAGCAGAGGGAGAGAGGACCAAGAAGTCGAGTTTCCTGCATCCCTCATTGGGGAAGCACCAGCCGGTGAGTGAACCTTTTCTCTGTCCCTTACACTCATGACCCGCAATCGATATCCGGATCGTGAGGCGCTGCATTTTCGTAGCCAAAAATGTTTCGTCCGGAGAGCATCATCATCAAGGTCCATACTGTTACCCAGTTCACCGGCAAAAGTGTGAGTCAACCACCCCGAGTCAACCACCCCCCCCGAGTCAACCACCCCCCCCCGAGTCAACCACCCCACCCCGAGTCAACCACCCTGCTCTTATCCAAATTATGTTCGCCCGAAGATCTATTTCCCCACCAAAGTTTTCCGCTCAATCTCGTTGTACGTGTTTCTTTACCTTAGGGAGCGTGGACAATTTGTTGCGTTCTGAATGGCCGAAAGAAACAGGCGGATTTAAACAAAGGTGCAGTGACTAACGCGATGTTCTGCTCACAAGAAGGGACCTTCGACTATCCGTATACCAACTCTGGAAAAATTATGTAACCTCTCACTTGCGCCACGGGTGGGTGTATCGACAGGGTGTGTGGTCCCTGTCGATACCGTGTACGGTCGATACCGTGTACGGTCGATACCGTGTACGGCGAAGTTTATCCACAACATCGACTAGTGTGGTGACCTTTATACCATAGGTTTATATTGGAGCACGAGGGAAAGTCGGCGGCGGTGGCGTCGTTGCCACTGGATGTGTTGGCGGGGAACACGAAGCCGGTGATAAAGGACTCGGTGGCGATGCGGTGGGAGGCGGAGGCTCCGCGGAGCGGGAACGCTCCTCCGATTCTGAACTTCGAGGTGCGAACTCATCCGACGCCTCCGGATACGTATCAGGAGTCTGTGTGGGGCATTCCGTTGGAGGGGCTAGACTTGGATTCGAGCACGGCGCGCGCGACGCCTTTGTTCCCAACTAAGCAGCACCCACAGCCAATAGGTGCCTCGATTTGGACGGGCATTCTAGACGACCCAATTTACGCTCCTGGTGCCAGTGGCTTCGCGCCCCATGCTGCACTTGGTCGCGATCAATCGGCAGCCGTGTACAGAGAACTTTCGCCTACAACAAATATACATCGCGAACAGTCAGCCGGCCCCACCGTTAGACGTGGAGCCGGCCGCAGATCTCTGGACATACACGCTTCCCACCTTAAAGGTGGCTGTGAAGAACGACTCGACGCGAGCCCCTACCGGGAACATTCCGCTGCCAACTCCTCCTTCGCCACCGACTACGTCAGCTCAGGCCGCCTCGCCGCAGTCTCCCCACCCCCCCGTCTTGCCGCTTCGCCACCCATGCAACCCAAACGCGTTGAAACAGGTGGCAGCGGCCTGAGACGCTTCTTCCACAAGAAAACGACCGAGGACAAACTCAATCAACTCGCCCGCGAAAACGGTAAGCAACGACTGACCCTCCCGGTTCTATTACCCGCCTCTACCACGCGCCTGCAAACACGGATCTTTGTGTCAGCACTCGTGTGTGCACAAACTCCCCCTCGACCCAGACTGGTGGCAATCACTCTCCTCTGTGGCGCTGACTCTCCTCCGTGGCGCTGACTCTCCTCTGTGGCGCTGACATCTGTTTTGGTTAGAGGTCGACTGTCGCGTCTCTCAAGATTTTGTCCAAAAATTTGCGAACCACCGAATTTAGTTCTTTTTCCACGGTGAGAACCAGCTGGCTATGCCAGAGCCAGTGGGCTCTTGGAGCTGCTTAGGCGTGTTATCCTCATGCGCGGTCCCAGTGGAGCGAGCGGCGGTGGCGGCCGCTCGGTTGCGGTCGCCGATGTCTGTCTGTCGGTCGCCAGTCAGGTCGGGGCGAGGGACAGTGGCCGGAGGCGGCAGACTGCCCTGGCGCGTGAGATTGGCGTGTCGAGAGGTCGAGAGGTCTCTGACGTTGGGAGTCATTTCTTTGACGAAGAGTTCGTGTACGTAAGAGATAGTTTCTACGTGCAATACGGGTAGTAGATAGAGAGTTTCATACTCTGTGTAGCCGAGACAAAGAATGAGTTCTTTAGCTCCCTCGTGTTTCACAACTTGGTCAAATATCGGATTATCTTTTCGTAAAACTCGCTTGGTCGGCTCTTCCGGAGTCAACAGTAGGTGTTGAAACAAACGTACTAGCGCCCGTAACACATTTGTCTTCACTGAAGGGCCCCCTGTCATCGGTGAAGGTGGTTGTCGAATGGGGGCAAGACTAAAACTAAATCCCCGCTCTTCAGCCGGATGGACGCTCGCCTTTTCCAAGCTTGCCGTGAGGTTGGTAATGATTCGGTTAATCCGATCTTTCGTGAGAGCTTTCAGCGGTGCGTATGATACCAGACCCATTCCCAAAATCTCTGGGTCATACAAAGACGTTATGATATTCCGAATTAATGCCGGGGAAATACTCAGCTGATCGAACCAAGCATCACTCAGCACACGCAATTGGTCTAGATTGCCGATCCAATTTTCGTCCAACAGAACCTTCTTGGCTGTCTCCACTTGCCCGTATGGATGGCAATACTTGATGCCCACTTTATTCAAAAATTCTTCCACTGTAGGCTCAATATAATAAACAGCGGACAATACGCCTCCCGTTGGTACACCTCCAGCAGACATTCCCAAGGCATTCACATTCATGTGGTCGTCAATAACTCCGGACGACAAATTTAAATCTAAGTATTTATCATCATCTTGAGATAAGAAACCGGAGTCCTTGGATAGAATATCTTTACACATAACTTCTTTCGTCATACAACTATCTGCTAACCTGTAATCGTCCGCTTCATGCCCATGATGAGACGGCTCATCAACGGGTATATGTTTAATATAATTTTGGCAGAACTTCTTGAGAACCAAATATAAGCCGAACGGTAGCTTTTCATGGAGTATTATCGCCTTTAGATCCTGAGTAGTTAATCGGTAAACATGTTCTAGATGTGTCAATTGATATTCCTCTTCCAGCACTTTCGCATCAAGCTGACTATTGAGCATCTTAACGTAGTCAGATAGCTTTAGCAACGACGGTGTCAGCTGTAGCTCGCGGATGTTATGACGTAAAAATTCCTCCACTGAATTAAGTTGGTTATTAGACCACTTGGTCTTGAGTTCTTCAATCATGATTTCAATATCCTCATCATCCAAATCTTTAAGTAATAGAACCGAGTTTATTTTATGTTCACGTACTACAAAGTCGGTGATCTCCTGTACATCTGACACTTGTAAGCCTTTGGTGATAGCGCAAATCGCAATTAAAGATTCCAGTGAATATTCGGCTCCTGAGCCGCACAAATAGCTTACACTCCGACCAAGAGCCCCTGTGCTTACACTCTCACACTCAGCGCGGTAATCTTCCGTCGTACTATTATACAAATCCATCAAACGTTCCGTCTGAGAATCTAACCACTTGTTCAACTTCACCGGTATGCCATTACGGATGCGAATCGTGTCCGGTAAGGCGAGCAAAACCGACAACTTGTTCACGCCCAGGCTGGTGTAAATCTTCTCTACAACCTTCTCCAACTCTTCTTTACTCTTGCCTAACAAATCTGCACTCTCGTCCGTAACCAGACACTCATAAATATCGGAATGTCGCCATCCCGCATCTCCTTCCTGAGTCGCTATACGCTCCACGGCCGGCAGCGGACTAAATTTTGCCCGACTCATCACGGGCACGTCTGCACTGTGGTCAGAGGGACCTGACTCGATCGTGAAGCACTCGGGCTTTGGTCCGAGACAAACCTCCTGTCCTGCATAGGTCGTCGTCCTTTGCTCACTTTCTGACGTCACTCTTTCCGACGTGGCTAGCTCGGACGAGGCTCTTTCCGACGCTCCTTGCTGGTCTGTTAACACAGGTATGCGGGCTATATCCGGTCGTTGGCTCAGTTCCTGTTGCTGGCACAGTTCCTGTTGCTGGCACAGTTCCTGTTGCTGGGTCAGTTCCCGTCGCTGGCTCAGTTCCTGTCGCTCGCTCAGTTCCGGTTCGTGGCGACTCATGTTCGGTTGTTCGGTCCCGGACCTACCTGACTCGGTCGAGGTGGGCAACGAAACCAGCTCCTCCGAAGTGCTGTGGCCAGTGACGAAGCCCACGGCGTCTCCATCAGTCTTGGGAGCGGCTCTAGGCTCGGCCTCGGAGGTTTGAGATGATGAATCGTTCTCACTCAACAACATCTCCGCCCCTTTTTTCGCCAACGCGTCAACACTCAGACCGAGACAAGCGGCCGTGCGATTGAGATCAGACAGACTAGCATCACTATGAACATCAGAGTAGTCAGTCATAAAAAAATGTGGTGAACTTGACATGCCTAGCTTTCAGCCAAATTGTACAACTGATAACTTGGATCTGGATGGGGCCTAACTTGGATCTGGATGGGGCCTAACTTGGATCTGGATGGGGCCTAACCTGGATCTGGATGGGGCCTAACTTGGATCTGGATGGGGCCTAACCTGGATCTGGATGGGGCCAGTTTAGCCGTTGACTACGGTGCCGCCATTGATGTGTATGGTCTGTCCGGAGACATAGGAGGAGTCGTTGCAGGCGAGGTAGACGTAGGCAGGTGCACATTCACTCGGCTGTCCGGCGCGGCCCATTGGCGTTTTCTTTCCGAATTCGGTGACGTGGTCGCCCATAGTAGAGGGAATGAGAGGAGTCCAGATGGGTCCGGGTGCAATGGCGTTGATTCGGATGCCCATGTTGGCGAGAGGTGTGGCGAGGGACCGAACGAGTCCGACTTCGGCTGCCTTGGTGGAAGTATAGTCGAGCAACACGGCATGGCCATGGAAAGTATTGACACTGCTGGTAATAATTATGGAACTACCAGGCTTAAGAACATCCAGCGCCCTTTGGATAGTGTAGAAGTGCGAAAAGATGTTGAGGCGGAAAGTCGCTTCTAACTGTGCCTCGGAAATCTTACGGATGTCGTCGCACACACGCTGGACGGCCGCATTCAACACCAATACATCCAACTGCCCGAAACTCTTAAGGCAAAAATCCACCAAGTCGATACAGGCCTGCTTCGTCGACAGGTCCCCCTGATGCAACACCGCTTTGGCCCCAGCCGCCTCACACTCAGCCTTGGTCTCCTCGGCGTCCCGCGTCTCGTTGAAATAAGCAATCACCACGTCGCAACCTTCGCGCGCAAAATGCACCGCCACCGCACGACCAATCCCACTGTCACCACCCGTCACAATCGCCACCTTCTTCTCCAGCTTTCCCGCCGCCTTGTACGATGGCGAAATGAACTCCGGCCGAGGCGTCATCCGCCATTCCTCCCCCGGCGGCGTTTGCGGCTGCACTGGAAAGTCTTTTGACTGCGGAGCCATGTCCTTTACGTGCGCATGCGAACGGGCATCACAGGCCACACCAATCACACGCCCCACCAACTTAGTTCCAACACGCTCACACCAACTGAGGACCAGTCTATCCGCATCTAAACTCCCCCGCGCCAACTCCCATGGCGCCGAATCGACGGGGCCACCTGCATGCAACCTGCGCCCATTCTACGACCGAGCCACCTTGCACCAGACCAAACTGCAGCCACCAAAGTACCACCTCCCTCGCTTGAATGCGTTACTCCCTGCTGCGCTACTACCTACCCCCCTTTGGCCCCTCCCTTGACTTCCCCATTTGCTCCCCTTTCGAATTACGCGAAATTTGTTCCGCGCTAAGCCCAGCACACGCGTGTGCGATGCGCCCAAATGAGCCTTTGGGACGCCGAAATTATCGCGATTCGCGCCAACAAAGCGCTCAAGGATCTGGAAAAGCTAATTCTTGTGGAGACGACGGGCATCAAGGATGATCGAGAGACTAAAATGATGGAAATTGCGAACCTGGAGAGAGAAGTCGACGCGCTGGACATGGCCCTGCTTCTGGAGAGAGCGAAGCTTAAGACCTTTGCGGCCGTGGCGGAAGAAACAGAGCCCACCTCGGCTACCGAAGGGCTGCCTCCATGTCTAAGCTTTATGTGGCTCAAACGCGATCCGAGTCCCGACTTGTCATCCAGGCCCTCTAGCGCCGAATCCATTGAGTTTATTACGCCTTCTGTGGCGTCCACCAGCTGCGCGCCGTGCAATTTACCACGACGCAACTTGCAACAGCATCGGAGACTGGCTTCGAACTGGTCGTCGGCCTCGGTCGTCCAAAGCGATGCGGGACCCCGGTCCCAAGACGAACCGTTCGAGAACCGACGCTGCACGGGGTGGTCGCGGTCGGACGGCGCCGTTTGGAGACCAGCGCCGGAAGAGCGAAGGCATGCGCGGCTGAACCCGACGACGCACCTAATTCCGAATTCTTTCGACCTAATACCGAACCATCACGCGAAGGCTGTGTGTGCGAGCGGACCAGAGCAGGTCTCTGCTTGCAGACCCTATAAAAGAGCATTATCCATCCAGAGAACTCCTTGTCCAGAAGCTCCTATCCCTAGCGACGGAATGTACATCAGTCACGAGCTCTCGTCTGCAGCTTTGTGCGACCCATACACCAGGAGATCCCTAACGATCAGGAACGACACAAAAGCGAGGAGACCCAACAAAACGTTCCCCAGGTTTGTTAGTCGTCCGCCTCTGTGATTTCTTACCGTCCACGCGTGGCCTATCGGAGAAATCTGCGACACTTAGCCAATGGAGACTGCGATTGGGGGAAAGTATTTTGTTCATCATCAAGGCAAAGCGACCTAGACAGTAGAGAGGCTCGTCTGATCGGAGGTCTCCGCATATGCCTGGCCACCAGCTCATTTTCCCTTTTGGTGAAGAGTCCCGATCGACTAGAGCTCAAGCTGTCACCGGAAGCCGCAGGTGGCTGAGATCGGTTCAGTATGGACTGGGACGACGGCGATCGGTACAGGGGCCTCAGTGGAGGAAACGACTCGGTGCTGGGTTCTACCACATCTTCCCGCCGAACTGTGGTGTCTTTGGGGGCGATCGGTATCTGGTCAAAGCCGCTAGCGTAGAGACGTTGTTGCAGCAAGCGCTGGTGGAGTAGGCTCCTTCTTGTGCTAATGTCGGAGTCGTCGTCAGGATATTGTCTGGTAGCAGGTTCATAGATTTGCTCTTGGTAATAGCCAACTTGTGCACTGGTGTCATGGACGGTCATGGATCGTTGGTGTATGGTTGATGGTGGTTGTCGCGGTGGTAGGGTGCGGCAGGAGGTGGCCAATGAGTATTTCTGGAGGCCGTTGAGAACCGGGAAGTCGTTAGGAGCGCGGTCGAAGGTGAGGAGGTCGAGTTTTCTGATGCAGACCCGGTTGTTCCGCCATTGGATCGACCAGCGCTTCTTTTGGAAGGCAAGTGTGACGGGTGGCATCGCTTGTATCGACAGTTTCCTCGGCTGCTGGGGAAGGCTGAAGTGCGTGGTGGAGTGGGTGGTCCATTTTTTCCTGGGGTCTGTCTGTTGGTCCGACGGCTCACGTTCCGTGAGTGCTCTTATTTTCTGTTCCCCGCGAAGGAGACACTCGCGCAGCTCCGACATCTCTGCGTCGAACTGCAGAGTCGTAGACAAGAATTCCTCCTGTAATCTCTTGACCTGGAGCTGAAGGGAGTCCTTTTTGCGCGTCAAGGTGTCGATCAGTGACCGGGTATGAATGTCGTCCGTTGTACACTCCACCCTTCCAAGACTTGCCATTTGCTGAGCTTCCCCCAACAACTCCTCCAACTCCAGTATGCGGCAATCGCGCTCCTAAACTCATTTAGATAGCATGAGCGAGCCCACGGGTGATGGCGCACGAGCGATGGCGTACTACCATGTGTAGAGGACCGCGCTATATGCCGTGAACTATGCCACCGAGTGCTGTCAACCATGTTATATGTATGAGTACGGGACCATGCCACACGTACGGGCAGCAAGCCGAGGAGCTCATCGCTCTTGTGGGGGTAAAATTTGCATCGTTAAGTCGGCAATGTCCACCGATAAACCGTGGACGAACTTACTTCTATAGCATTTCTCAAATCAGAGACGGATAGAGGACTACTAAGGTCCTGGTAGTCAGCGCCACGGAACGTTACATCGGACATTACCTAATTTCGTCATTTGCCTGTTCCCGGCCCGCGCCGAAAAGTGTGTGCTTATCGTGATCGAACGAATTGAACAAATTTACTATGCGTCTAATACTACTGGTTCTGGCCGTTCAGTGTGAGAAAAATCCTGTAGCACAGCAGCGCTCACCATTTCAGCTCAGGCCGGGTTGCTCGATACGGCTACATCTTTGATGAGTAGTGGATCGGCGGGGTCCTTGCTATCCAGCGTCGGTCTTGGGGACGTAGCAAGCATGTTGCCTACGACAACAACGACGGCAGCCCCTACCTTGCCGTCGGAAGGGCTGAACGCGTATCTGGACAGCGCCAGCAAAATGGAAGACCGCGTTAAGCAACTGAAGGAAGCTGTTACATACGAAACATCGATGCTCGATACTCTCTCCCGGTTCGGACTTGAGGAAGTCACTGGTCCCTCAGCGGTAAGAATTGAATACCGGCCCTAGCCGAACTCCGGCCCTAGCTGTAACCGAATTCCTCGTCTTGCTAACTACAATTTCTCCAGGGAACGGACACAACGGTCAGCTACGTGGATCCGACGGTTCTGGCCAGCACGGGTTCATCTGCTGAGACTTCCGGCACTCCTCCTCCGGTCATCCTGATCCTGCCACGGCGCCTTCAGCAATATGAGAAGCTATGGTTGGTAAGCTCTTGGTAGCACACGTTTAGCATTTTCTTAGATGTCAATTCTGAGCTGTAATGAGGGAGTAGCAGCAGTAGCCGAGTGATCCCAAGGTCCGAGTGATCCCAAGGTCCGAGTGATCCAAAGTCCGAGTTATCCCCAACTAGCGGGTCTGCTTTGTAGGGCGGCAGAATCGAAGCATATGTAGCGGTCCCGAACGGCTTTCTGAGGGTCATTTTATCCGGAGTACTTGCCTGACGACCAAGGAGCGTCATAGGTTCGGTCGTGGGACGATCGCGGCTCATATTGTCCCTTTTCATAGGACCCACCTGTTGCGTAAGGCATGGATTTCTCGGGGGGGAAGGTGGACTTGTAGCCGCTCCGGTCGTGTGAGGTTCTGCTGTCATAGTGTCCATGGCCTCGGTCGTGGGCGCCCGGGCCTTTCTCATACGAGCCCTTGTCATATGAGCCTTTGTCATAGGTGGTCTTCTCGCCGTAGGTTCGTCCTTCTCCGTAGGAGCTGCGTCCTTCGCCGCCGTAGTTACGTCCCTCGCCGCCGTAGTTACGTGCTTCTCCGTAGGAGCTGCGTCCTTCTCCGTAGGAGCTGCGTCCTTCTCCGTAGGAGCTGCGCCCTTCCCCGTAGGAGCTGCGGCCAGTGGCTGCGCCGAAGCCAGCGGTACGCCGGCCTTCGCCGTCGTAGCTACTACGGTCGTACGGTCCGGTGGTGCGACGTGCACCGATGCCGGCCCCACGGCCGCGGTACTCCGAACCGCCACGGCCGGGTATTCCGCCGCGATGGAAGCCGCGTCCACGAGTGCTTCCACGAGGGGCGAGACCACCACCGCGACCTCGTCCCCTTCCGCCGCGACCCACGGGTGCATATTCGGTTCGGTGGTCGGCGGCGCGAGTAACCTTGACGCCTTTGCGGGGTGGTCCTTCACCACCACCAAGACGTCGTGGGAGCCAGCCTGAAACGACGCGAGCCTTTTCGGTATCCACCAGTACCGCCCGTCCATCAATTACTTTCTGATTTGCATTTTTATAAGCGTTCCACATTCCTTCTTCATTTTTAAACTCAACAAATGCGTATCCTCGAGGCTTCCCCTCCAGGTCCGCTACCACTCGGATATCTCTTACCGGCCCATATGCTTCGAATGTTTTTAGTAATTTCTTCTCCGTCGTCTCGTAACTCAATCGACCCACAAACAACGTTTTTTTCGCATCCGCCGTCTTCTGCTTAGACGGGTCTAAAGACGGCTCGTACAACACACGCCGCCGTTCCAACTGCTCCGCGTGTTCGCGCCGACGCTCCTCCTGCAACGTCTGCCTGCGCTCCGCAGGCGAAACAAACGAAGGTGGCTACCGCACAAAACTTTGCGCAAACAGGGCGGGGGGACACACGCACACGGGGTGACAACGCACATCAAGGGGGAAGGGCACACGAAGGTAGACAGTTGCGTGGTGCGGGGGGG